GAAAACAAGAGAAAAGAAAAAAATGTCATAGGACTGTCCTGCTACAATGCTGTATATGGTCAGATCTCTAAATTTCTGTGTAAAAATATGGAATTGTTTATTCCTATTTTTGAAATATTTTCTTATTTCTTTAATTTTTTTTCTTCATATTCTGTAGGGACTTAAAGTTTAACATATCAATACTTGATGGAAAATACCTGTTCCATGTTATGTCTAAGATGTTTGATATTCAGACAGATAGTGAGGTTAAGCTCAACTGCCTATGTTGTAGGATAATAATAATAAGCTTCTCTTCTGGAGGGTTAACAACTTAAGTTTGTAGACCAAAAATTAGAGAAAAAGAAGGGCTTCAAGGACAGCCAACATTTTGGCCCTAGCCGTTCAAGGTCAGTGAGGACTCAGGACATAGGAAAACCTATACTGTAACATCCTGTAACTCAGTTGTGTCCCAAATTTTCTGATCAAGGGGATTATGGGACCACAGAGGAAAGTGATCGATGATGTAGAGTGTGCCTAAGGAGAGTCACATGGAGAGAAAACATTCTCTCAGGCTTTCACAGAGAGCAAATTGTTCAAGCAATGGCTGTGACTCATCCACATGGCTGACACTGACAGAGGATCTACAAACTGAGGTATAGGGCTTCAGGGTAAAATCCTGAGGGGATTTGGCAGATACAGAAGTTACATCTCCTGTTATACAGGTCTTGCTTTATAGCAAGGCCTTAAGCATCCAGCAGAAAAGTATAAAAACGAGATACAAAAAGTAGAGCCATAATAATATTCTGAGCTATAAAAGGCTCAAGTCAACAACTTCTGACATTGCCAGTCCTATGGATAACCCACTACTATTGTGGGCTGCTGGACTATATTGGATTATTTTGCTGAATTCAAGCACCTATAATATTTAAATGGCAATGGAATACCCATTTCTGATAAAACTAAACAAGAAGGTTAGATATACAGCTACTTTCTCTTAATTCAATGAGAAGAAAGATTTGTACTAATAGTGTTTGGACAGGATATCATGTCTTCATCTTGTACTATGCATAACCACTATGAAGACAACAATATGCAATGTATTAATTATTGAAATTGTCCTACTAATCGGTTTTGAAACTGCCTCATTGCTATTTGTTTCTCAAAAAAATTTAAAAAAATTAAAAAGCTTGGGCTGGCCAGATAGCTCAGTGGATTAAAGTGCCTGCATAGGCAGGCTCAGAGACTGGGATTGGATCCCGGGCATGCCCTGATGGCCCCACCCCCGGGGTGTGACTGAGACCAGGTGTGGGAGTGTCTGTAATCCCAGTGCTTGGGAGGCTGAAAACAGTAGGATTACTACAAGTCCAATCTGTGTAGTGAGACTCTATAGACCCTGTACTAAATACATTAAAAAAAATTAAAAAGCTTTTGCACATCAAAGGAAACCAACAAAGTGAATAGACAAACTAGAGGATGGGTTGACCAAGAAATCAACAATAACAAATGCTGGTGAGGCTATGGGGAGAAAGGAACCCTCCTTTATTGTTGATGGGAGTGTAGCGTGATACACTATGAAAGTCATTATGGAGATTCCTCAAAAAACTAAATATGAAAATTCTATTTGACCCCGCTATGCCCCTTTAGGATATCTTCCCAAGTGTTAAACATCATGCCAGAGTGATATAAGTGTACCTATGTTTATAGCAGCACAATTCATAATAGCTAAATATTGGTGTTATGGTTTGTCTAGGTGTCCCTTCCCCAAAGTCTCATGCAGTCTTGGGGTGGCTTCTGGAGTTTGTGATTATTATTGGTGTGGATGCTGCACCTGCCCTGGGGCAGGTAATTTGCATTACAATGTAAGGTGGGAAGAGAAGCTAGCGGCTTGAGCTGCTGCTACCCCTCACTTTGCTCTTGCTCTTTGCCTCCACCATGAAAAGGTGCTCTCTGCCATGTGCTGCTCTGCCTGGACCCAGTTGAATGTGGACAGAAACCTCCAGTAACTGTGAGCTAAATAAACCTTTCCTTCCTTCAATTTGGTTGTCGGGTATTTGTCCCTGCAATGAGAGAAGAGTAACTAAGATAGTTGGAATCAGCCATCAACAGATGAATGGGTAAAGAAAGTGTGATACCTATACACAAAGTCCCACTCTGCAGTTAAGAAAGATAAACTTGCTGCATCTGTAGGAAAATGGACACACTTTGAGACGATAAAGTTAGGTGAAGCAAGTGAGACACAAACTTGACCATCATAAGGTTTCCCTTAAACAAAAAATTTAATAGAAAAGGAGAAAGAGAAAAGAGAAAAAAGGTATTATATTCTAAATATGTTTATTTTGTTGGCTTCTGGTTTCACTTTAACACTGTCTGAGACTTCACTTTGCAGGATTTATATTTCTTTGGCTATGTTAAGGTTTTCGTTGCTATGAGCATGGTTTATTTTGAAAACAAATTAAATTCCTAGAATAAAAAAAATCTATGAAGCCAGAGAATAGCTCAGAGGCTGTCTAGATTTGGGGGTGTGGGGGGTTGGGAGATACTGGAGTGTAGAATGTTTTGATGTGAGATAAAGAAAAATGGCCTAATTTGATTGTAGTTGTAGTTGTAACCACAAAGTGCTAAAAAAAAAAATCTACTGAATCTTACATCTGAAGTTTGTAAATTGTGTGTTGTACAGATTTTCAGTTCAATAAAGTTGTTTTATTTAAAAAATAAAAAAGACAAGGCTAGCCTGAACTGAATAGTGAAACCCTGTCACAAAAAGACCAAGAAACAAACAAACAAACAAACAAACAAACAAACAAAGGAAGGAAGGAAGAAAGGAAGGAAAGAAGGAAGGAAGGAAGGAAGGAAGGAAGGAAGGAAGGAAGGAAGGAAGGAAGGAAGGAGTGGCAGTACACACCTGCGGTCCATTTCACCAGAAGCTGAGGCAGGAGGATTATTTAAGCTCACAAGTTCAATTTCAGCTTGGGCAACATAACAAGAATGCATCTCAAAAATACATAAATAGATAAATGAAACATTAAATAAATAAATGTATTCTTTTTTTTTTTTTTGTGGAACCGGGGATTGAACTCAGGCCCTTGCACTTGCCAGGCAAGTGCTTATTCCACTGAGCCATCTCCCCAGCCCCTAAATAAATAAATGTAGAGACAAAAAAAAAAAAAAAAAAAAAAAAAAAAATGCTTTCAACAGCCAAGCGAAAGAACAATAAGATGACTACACCTCCAATTTGTCCAGGGCAGTCCTGGTTTATGTTGGGTTCCTGGAGAGCTTGTTAATGGTGTTCCTGTTCTCGCTCAAAAGAAACCCTGATTAACAACCAAAAGAAAATGTAGATCAGCATCAGCTATTGATAGCAACACATCACACTAAAAGAAAATATGCTAGTTTATAGAATTTTTGATGGAAGAAAATAGAGCCAAGGATTTTAAATCAGCCAAACAGCTTAAAATATCCTCTAAGAAGCCCATGATAAATCTGGGTACGTGCCTACAATCCTAGTCCTCAAGGGTGGCAGGAGTATCTTCAGAAGTTCAAGGCCAGCCTGGGCTACACAGCAAGACTTTCCATCTTTAAAAAAAAGAAAAATTAACTAAACTAAAAAAATAAATTAAAAAGCCACAATGAGTTGAGTTTTCTAAAGCCTACAGCATAATGTGCATTCATGAGGACTCTGAAGTTCCTATTAGGGAATAAACTTCAGAAAACAAAATATTATAGGAGAAAACTGGATGTATGGGAAAAGGTGTCTCTGTGTGTTAGAAAGAGAGGGAGGGCTAACCCGAGGAGGGTGTGTTTCACATAGAACATCAGGGTGCATGGCTTTGTTGGTGTTATTTTCAGCTTTCAACTCCAGAGCAAAGACTCCGGGCCGGCGTGAGTGTGGGAATTTCTGCCTGCTCCTGGTGCTCAATTCCAGAGCAATTCCTTGTGCTATCTGGTTGTCTCTGTATCCAATCTGAAGAATTTGGCTGTGTCTCTTGTGATTGCTAAAATCCTACACCCTCCAGCCATTACCCCCAAGATTGCCAGCCACGGAACAGCTACAACACCCAAGCCGCAGGATATTTTAGCCTATGGTCTGAAGTGTCGCTTAGCACAATCTCCCCACCCTCCACCCAGTTTCCTCAGAGTCTCCAGACCATGAGAGGTCTATGCTGCTCAGAGTGAAAGGGAAAATCCTGTGGCCCAGCTAAATGCGTCTTGTGTCCTGGTTACAAATACAAGCTGCACAGAGGAAACGTTGCTAAATTCTGTGTTTCTTTGGGGAAAAGGTATGCAAAGGCCTTCTGCCTCTGTACTTCCTGCTTGCTTATCCCACATAAGGCGAAGACCATCAGAGATCAGGACCTGATACTCTGGGAATGATCCTGATCAATGCCTGCCAAAGTACATAAATAGATCTCCCTCCAAATCCTGGGTGTTGATTTGGTGTTTCTGCTTGACACTGCATATTAACTTTAGAAAAGACAGTGAAGAGCACAGAGAAGGAATTCCAAGTACAGGTACCATAGTGCTGGTCCACTGTCTAGGTACAGTGGTCCAAAAGCCTGGACCCCAGCTCTGCCCTTCCCCCACCCACCTTTCATCCTAAGAGGTGGGAGTTGGGGGGGGCACTCACCCTGCCCTGTCCCTGTCTACACAGAATGGATGACAGGCATTGCATTGGATCCCCCACCCCAGACTCTGTCACAGTCCCCCCCCCCCCCCGGTGCCCAACAGTGCAGCCAGTGAGGTCACCCTGGGTTTTTCCTGACATTGCCCTGCCTGTCTGGGGACTGCCTGACTCCAGCTCTGCGCTCCAGACCCTAAATGGCCTTTGGGACACGCTTCAGTGTCATTTCTGTGATGCCCTATACATCATTCCCTCTGGAGCCTTCTGCACATTCCTGCTTTGTGGCTCAGTAGTGTCTCCACACCTTGACATACAGTAGATGCACAATAAATGCCTACAGAATGAGTATACCAGCTACACTCGGTGGGGAGAAGGGAGGAAGGGGTGGGCACGGGCCCCTTACTTGTTGTACAGCACAATGTCCGGTTTCCAGATCTTCTCTGCGGGTACACGCAAGAACTCCACGCCTGCGTAGTCGGAGGGATTCCATTTCAGCTTATAGTCAGTCCAGATCTGGGGGGCGGGTATGGTATCAGGCTCAGCCCAGCTACATCCTACCCCATTGCAGGTCACTAGGCTACATCCTACCCCATTACAGTTTAGGCTGCAGCAGGGGACAGCAAGAGGCTGAGCCTGCAGGTCCTTCCTGCTCTCAGCAACACCTGCTCTATCTGTGAGCAAGCTCAGCACCATCCATCTTTGAGGACTGTTAGTGAGAGTGTTCTCTGACCACTGCTGGTGCCAAGTGCTGCTCCCAGACTTCTGCACCAGGTCTGGGCACAAATCTCTAACCAGGCCCCAAGAACAAGGTGCCTTTCAGGCCTGAGAGGTTCTGGGGAAGAGCCAGGAGCCCACGTGGCCCCAAGAAGTGGCTGCAAAGCACTGAAGGGGACAGAGGTGAGGTGGCGGAAGAAGGAGTAGGTGTCATTGAGCATTATGGGGGACAGGGTCTGTCTTTGATGGTCTCCAGGGACAAGGATGTGGGAGCTGGAGGAAGGATCACCAGCAAGGTAGTCACCAGCAAGCCTGAGTACTGTGTTTTTCAAGGTAGAGGGACAGGCCAGAAAGCTCAGCAGACTAAAGCGCCTGTTTCAGCACAGCACAGCGGCGGGGGTTCGATCCCTGGCATGTTGTGCTGGCCCCACCTCCGGGGCACGCTGAGCTGGTGATTGAGACTGGGCACGGTGGCGCGCCTGTGATCCCAGCGCTTGGGAGGCTGAAAACAGGAGAATCACCACGAGTCTGATGTACGCGGTGAGACCTTGTACACCCTGTCCTAAATTCATTTAAAAAAAAAAGAAAAAGAAAAAGAAAAGAATGAAGGTAGAAGCCTTCTGCGGGTAGATACGCGGAGGTCTCACTCTGAACAAGAAAATTCAGTTTCCACCCCTAGAGTGTTTCTGGCATAGGGAAGGGAAGAAGCTGGGCCAGGGCTCCAGGCCCAGGGCTGTCCCATGTGGTAACATGACTATGGAGAGGGCTCTCTGGCCATAGACGGTGCATCTGTGACTAGGGGTGGCCAAGTGACTGCACTGCAGAGTGTGGGACCCGGGGTAGGACCTCCTCAGCGCCTCACCCAACTTGGTTCCCACCCACACATCAGGCAGTGGCCACCAGGGGGCAGCTGATGCCGAGCAGCCTCTCACCTGCCTGAGCCACAGGTTGGTCTCCATAATCTGGTTCACTTCGTCCTGCAGAGAGATGGAAACAGACAGATGCCCGCACGGCGAAACTGTTCCGGAAAAGACCCCGAGCCCGCAGCCAGCCTCGCACTCACCACTTTCACCAGCTGGGACATGGACACCTCGAACTGGATGATGACCGGGTTGGATACGTTAGCCACAGGCCGGATGATCTCGTTGTAGTCCTGGAACAGGTGCTCAAACAGGCGGTGCTCGGCCTCGGAGGCGTGAACCACTGGGAGGGGTGCAGCCTCATCAGCCCCAGGACATTGCTCCCCGCCTCTCCCCCGGGAACATCTTCACTCCTCAAGCTACAGACGGAGAGACTGAGGCCCCTGAGGAACAGGGTTCTGCCATGTCACAAACACTTGGGATAACAGCCTGGGCTCTGACGCTGGACAGAAGCAGAAGCAAATCTGGCCGCCCGAGAGCCGTGAGAGCTCGGGGAGGCTTCAACTTGGCTGAGCTCCAGTTTCGGTGCCGTCAAGGGAATCAAGCACACACCAGCCTTGAGGGCTGAGTCAGTGCCTGCTATGGGGTCTGGTGCTGTCACCATAAGGTGTAGTGCTTCCGGGACGGAAGGAACCCCTGGTAGGCCCAACAGGGTCCTGGCCACCCCGGGTTCCCGCCGAGCTAAAGCTCATGCGTGGGTGCCCATGTCTACCCGGGGTCTGCGTGGGCTTGGCTTTCAGCCTGTTTTAGTACCAGGGCCTCGTCCCTACTGTTCACGTCACTTGACCGAGCCCTCCTCCCTCGGGAGCCCGCGACCCTTTGTTCCCAGCCCAGGGCTGCGCCTCTCTGCAGATCAGACGAAGAGGTGATGGGGCCCAGGGAGCGACGGGTCCTGCAGGGCTTGCAGGGTCGCGACCCTCACCCTGCTCCCAGGAAGAGGGGCGCGGAGGGGCCCGGGGGGGCAGCACCCAGGGCTGGGCAGCGTCAAGAGCTGAGTTCTTCGGCATCCATCCACCATCCCGGGGCCGCCCAGGTCACCGAGGACGCTCTGAGCTACCCGGTCCACCCTGACACACCCCAGTTCATCCGAAGCCTGACGGGGCAAGAGGCACGGGAGCCACTGTCGCTCCGCGGCGCCCGGGACGAGTCCCCTTGGTCCCAGCTGTGACATGGGCGCGAGCAGACACTGTCCCGGTCCCTGCCAACGAAGACCCAGGATACCTGCTTCCTTCTCGGGAGCCGGGGAGGGGAGGGACAGGAGGGGGCGCCCCCCGGACCCCGCACCCCGCGTTCCAATCTGCGTCCCCGGCCCTCGCGGTACCTGGCGGCTGCAGCAACAACAGCAGCAGCAGCGCTAGCTGCGGCGACGACGAATAGACGCCCATGGCGGGGACGGCGGGACCGTACGGACGGACGGAGCAGACCCGTCTGGCCCGTTTGCTCCATCTGGGTCAGCACAGCCTGAGCCTAGGCTGCGCCTGCCTCCGGCAGAGGGGCGAGTGGGGCGGGGTTAATGTAGGAGGGGCTTACAGGACTCGGGGCTAGTATCCGCGAGGCAGGCATTGTGGGCGGGGCTCGACCCGGGGCTCCAGCTCCCCCCTCAGTGTCACCACAGACTGCCCCCAAGGCCCTCTGTCCCTGAGTCCCTGCATGGCTCCCGCGGGCTGAGGCCCTGGTTGATGTGCTTTAGCAGTGGTGGATATTTGAGGTGACGGGTTTCTGCTTGGTTTTAAGTCGTATAGTTGAGGGAGGGGCAGGTGTCTGGAATCAGCATAACAGTTGTGAAGAGGTGAGCCCTGCTCAGCAAGTGGCTCTGTTCTGCGGTTCTCTCGGCTTAGAATATGTTTGAAATGCTCTTTACTAAGACGTAGAACTAAAGAAAAAGAACTTAACAGGCTTGACGCAATCAGAGGGGATCCGGCGCCCCATGACCCAGCCGAGCATCCTCTGCTCGCTGTTGTCTGCAACCCTGGGGTCCCTGGGCACCTGAAGGCATCCTAATGTCTGTGGGAGGAAGTAGTCACCCCTTGTCACAGTTCCCACAAACGGGCAAAGCCTTCAGCACCCCCAGAAGGGCTGCTCACTATTTACACTAAAACACCCACCTCCGGGACAACAGCATTCACCTGATGTTTTCCATTAAAAGGGAAAGAAATCCCCTCTGTCCTGTGGGAATCTGAGCATAAAGCCCTTATTGTGTGTCGGATGGAGAATGACCAGTGACACGCCCAGGGCGGACATGGATGGCTAATTATAGGGTACATCTGGGTTCACTGTCTTTGTTGGGAAACAGTGAGGGACTGGGTGGCCTGTTACACACTTAGCTGTCTCACTCCACAGCATTGTAATCATAGTCACTTCCCTGCAGGCAGCATGAGGGGCTGGGCTGAGTGGCTGATGGACAACAATGACGTACATGTCACCAAATCTCTCTTTGTCTCAGGCAGCATTGCTTGCTTGTTCTCATTCTCCTGGCAAAAGTTCCTTCACTTGGAAAATTTGGTCAGTTGCCAAAGGACCTGTATCCAGAATATACGAAGAACCCTCAAGATAAAGCAATTGGCATAGCTGGGTACAGGCTTATCCTAGGAAGTGTCTCAGGTGAACTATGGTGAGTCATTCTAAAATACACTGGATCATAATCATAAAACGGGTGGATTGTGATATATAACTTATACCCTAATAGTGCTTAGTAAATTCAGCAATTACAAAACTACAACCTAATTTTTAAAATGGGCAAGGACAGTAGAGACACTTCCCTAAAGAGGATGACGGAAGGAAAACAAAGTTCCATATCCCTAGCTACGAGGGAAATAAAAATAAATGAAAACCAGGGTTCTGTGCCCCGTCACACCCCGGACTGCTGAGATAAAACAAATGTGGTTGATGCGGAGTGCACAGAAGGTGTCAAAAGGTGTCAAAGGGACAAGACTGCTCAGACTTTTCCAGACTGCATTACCACTCCGGAAAGTTTCATGTAAGGTTACCCATCCCCTGATCATATAAGGCAATGGTCACATGCTGAGTGTTTATGTAGAGAAATGGACATTTTTGTTCATACAAATCCTGTAAAATTGTTTTTAGCTCTATTCACAGTCGCCCCACACTGGAAGCAGCCTCCGTATGCAGCAGCCCTCTGGAGAAGGCACTGCCCAGCGTACCAAATGCCACCTTTTGGATTCCTTCAGCATCCGGGGTGAACCTGGTGAATCTGAAAGACACTAGGCTGAAGGAAGAAGCCAGGCTCCAAGGTTTGCAACACTGTAAGATTCCACTAAGTGGCCATCTGGAAGACCAGCGATGGAGAACAGGGAAGTGGTTACCAAGACTTAGTGAAGAAACAGTAGGGGAAGCAGCAGATGATGGATCTCCCCTGGGTTCCAGTGTGTTGGTTACACAAGTCTACAAATGTGTTATAATCAGAGAATTGTAGGTTAGAAAGTCAATTTTATTGTGTGATAATTTTTAAAAAGAGAATTTTTTTAAATGTTATTCTCCATCCCACAACATTCTAAGCACGGGAAAGAGTCTGTGTAGGAGGAACTGACTCCTTTGGTGGGGGGTGACAGACCTGAGCCCATCTGATGGACAGGCAGGAAATGGCCAGTGCTTCAAAGACCTGGAGGAGGCAGGCACTCCCTCCAGGGGGTGGGGGCTGGGGACAGAGGAGGGTGCAGGAGCTTGAAGGAGGAGTAGGAGCCGTCTGTTTTGTTAACACATATTTATTTCGCACCTTCTGGGTTCCAGGCTCTGTCCCAGACCCCTGATCTCTGGGGCACACACTCTAGGGGTAAGATGTGAGTACGAAGCAAGCCACCATTTAAGGACTGCTGTCACTGAGGGGCTTGAGGCTGTGACGTGGTCATGAGAGGCTGCTTTAGGATGAGGGATCAGGGAAGCCTCTAGGAGGAGGTGGCATTGGAGCAGAGGACAACAGGAGTAAGCCCTAATCAACAAAGCTGTGGAACAGAGAGTGAGGTTGGGGAGCAGGAACAGCAGGTGCAAAAGCCCTAAGCCAGAGAGGAGCTGGAAGGCAGGCAGAGAGCCCCGTGGACAGGAATGGAGGAAAAGGCCTGGCATACAGCAGGTGCTGCTAGTATGCACAGAGTAAGGGCTGTTGTATCTTCATGTAACCCCACGTCCCACGGGAGGAATTCACCTGTCTGAAACTCCCCCACCTGGGCTCAATCAAAGGCATCCAGAGAGGATAGTGCAGGACCCCATCCTGAGCCTCTCGAAGCCGTGGCTTGTTTGATGGTCACATAGTCATTTGGCTCATCAGCTGTGACCCAGGAGGAAGCAGCTCTCTGTGCACCTGACAGCACATGTCATCCTACCCCACCACTCAGGGGGGCTTGGACATGCTGGACAGGCAGCCTAGGGTTCCTCAGGAGGTGTATGGGTCTGGAAGAGGGGAGGCAGGAAGAGCCCCACGGTGCCCAGGACACACACGAACACGAACACCCACAGGAACAGCCGGTCCACCACCATGGCCACATACTTCCAATCCTCAATGACCTGTGGGCAGACAGAGGGCTGGTTACGGGTGCTGTACTGGGGTCCTGACCTCCCTGACTCAGCCCTTGGCATTCAGGCAGGGCCCCTGGAGGCTACACATGGGATTGAACTATGCACCAGTGCAGTAAATTCCGAGTCTTGGGCTGGAATCAGATGGAAACTCTGTGTCCCTCTGGACTCCACCCAAGAGCTACCAGGAGCTTGGGCTGTACAGAAAAGTTAGGACTGCCAGCATGCGCATAGTAGGGGCTGCTGTATGTTCATATCACCCCAGGTCTGGCCTGGGAGGAATGGGGTCATGAATCCACCATAGTCCTTCTGATCCTGTGGGTCCCCAAATCCAAGGATGCCCAGGTCCCTCACACAGAAGGTGGCACCATGTGCTCATAAACTGCACACCTTCATTCACACCGATCCCCTCGACATGCTTGTGACACCAGTGCACTGTAGGTGCTGACTAAATAGATGTTATGCGGCATTGTTTAGGGAACAACAAGAAAAAAGTCTGCACATAGTCAGTACAGACTTTTTTTCTGATTATTCTCGATATACTGCTGAATCTATCAGTGTAGAACCAGACGACAGAGAACTGCTTATGCCACCAACTTACAATTAAAAAACCCAAGCTGGCTATAAATAAAGGGGGCTAAAGCATAATGAGTGCAAGGCCCCTTCTTCCTGTTTTTGGCACCAGCCGGTTCAATGCAGAGCAAGAGCTGGGGCCCCCTTACTTAACTAGGCTGGGCACCAGGCACTGGTAGAGCCACCTGGATGGAGATGGTGTTCTTTAATTTGTCCAATTCCATCCACAGCAGTGCCTGCTATTTCCTATAATTAAGATTCAGCCTCATCATCCGGCTCTCTCTCTATTATCCTCTCAGGCCCTTCCATGGGGAGTGACATTGGCGGAGACCCTGCTGGCCTGCAGAGATGTTGTTGCAGATGTGCCTGCGTCCTTAGCTCTTAGGCGTGGTGCCCAGGGAGGCCTAGCATCCTGCATCCTGAGTTCCCCACGTCTGGCCTAGAAGGCTCCCAAGTGGCTCTGAAGCTGGAAACACTGGCAACATGAGTGCATTTAGCCAACACCAGTGACCCAATTTTGTCAGGAGTCCATGGTGTGTGTCTACCCTACAAGACAATTCCCGTTTCAAACCAGCACCCCAAACCCTATCAAACATGCCAGGCACCCAAACCTGAGATGAAGCAGCACTTCAAAGTGCTCCCCTCAGTCACACCTGGATTGCCTGGGTCTCCTCTTTACAGCCCCAGCTCCAAATGGTGTGTGTGTGTGTGTGTGTGTGTGTGTGTGTGTGTCCCATTTTATAACTGCATGCTATTTGCAGTCACCAGTTAATCACTGGGGATAGAGAAGATGTTGGAGATGAGGAGCAGTGCCTGGTGCTGAGGGGTGGGTCCTTCATCCCAGAGGGGGGACAGGCTTCTGCAAGGACATAGGAGGTCCATTAACCAGTGTGCTCTAGGCAGAGCCAGCCCCAGAGAGACTAGGATGGTAGGCATATCTGGCTGTAGAGTCTGGCTTGCCAGGCTCCAACTGTGTGACTGGTACAAATCAGGAAATATTTCCCAAACACACTATAAAGTGGGGCTTCTAGGGGGGTTAGAAGTGAGGCACAGCTGCTCCTGGCAGAGCACCTAGTGTGAACTGGGAGCTAAGTGGCTGCTGTTGGGTCTCACAGTCTCATCCTACCAGACTCCTTCTCCAGAGGCTAAAATGAGCATGCTCAGGATGGGTGCCTGCTCTGACAGGACAGTGGGGTGGGGAGCAGGGCAGGGCCAGTGCTTTTCAGCCTGGCTTGTACCATGTGCATCACCAGGGATCCAGTTAGAAATGCAGCTTCTCCTGAGGTTCTGGCTCAGCCTAATGGGCTACTTTCAATCTTATTCTATGGTTCTGGGTTAGCCTGCAGGGTCCCAGTATGCCTGTTAATGTTTGGGAGCCAATGCCTTAGGTAATGTTAAAGTCTGGATGATTTTCAACTAAAAAATAGCCTGACCAAGCCAGGTGTGATGGTGCCTGCCTGTAATCCTAGCAATCTAGGAGGCTGAGGCAGGAGGAACACAAGTTGGAGCCTGGCTTAGGCAACCTAACATGAGACCCTATCTCAAAAAAAAAGAAATGTTAAAAATCTGGGGATGTAGTTCAAAGAAAAGGCTCTGGGCTCAATCCCCAGTACAATAAGGAAAAAAAAAAAGCACAATCAAATCAACTTGTCAGAAGGTGAAATCCTAAGAAGGTACTTCTCAACCTAGAATGTGCCCAGAGGTCCTATTATCTGGGGTGTGCCTAAGACGGCTCCTTCAGTTTCTGTCAGGGGCCTGCGAGTTTAAGCTTCTAGCAAGTCGCAGACAGTGCTAATGCTGCTGGCCTGAAGACTATCGCCTCAGCAGTGGGGGTGCAGATGAAAACCTCATGCCCTAGATTCCTTCTGTTCATGGATCTCCTTCTGCTTCATGTGACATGGAGCTTTCCGGGCCTGTGCTTTTCCAGCCATGCTAACTAATGGACCACCAGGGCTTTCCCCTGAGAGTACAGCCAGTGAAGAAACTGCAGCATGACAAGAATGAGGAAATGTCCTCTTTTCTCCATGCAGCTGGGTGGGGGAGACAGCACACTGTGCTGTCTGTCAGAACCTGTCCGGAGGATCTGCTCTGCTCTGTGTGGAGTGGAGACTGTGCACACAAGATGGCTTTTGTTTTGAGGATGAAAACAAGTGCAAAAATGTTCTGTGTTCAAGTATGAAAGCTTCCTAGACCTCCTGCTTACTCATGGCTTTGGCCTATGAGTGTGATTTTAATCTCATTTTAGGGTATCTTTTGTCACCCACTTCACCATTTTTTTCTCTTTCTTTCTTTCTTTCTTTCTTTCTTTCTTTCTTTCTTTCTTTCTTTCTTTCTTTCTTTCTTTTCTTTACTATTTCTTAGCTGGTAGCAATTATATTTTACCTGATGGTCCTGACCGCCTGAAAGCTATAAATGCTTGCACTGTACCCAACTACCTACATCTCGAAAGGCTGCAGTCTCCTCAGCCTCCGCGCCTCTCCTCTTCTCCGGGCCAGGGCTTTCTCTAGCACCCAGCCTGCCTGCGGTGGGCAGATGGTGAAGTCATCACACTAACTAATGGCCCCAGCTACAGTCAGCAAATGGGGACAGGTGCTGGCAGTAAGTACCCCAAGTCCCTCAGTGGGTCATGATGCTGGTCCCTGTAGGCCGTGGGGCTCTCCATTGCAAGTGTGGGGCCCACAGTGGTGTCCTGCTGATGCCCTATAGGGCTTATTTCCTGTCCCTGTGTCACACTGTGCATCCCAGGGTTACCTCTCAAACTACCTGCCCCCCGCAGTGCTATCTCAGGTCTGCTTTTGGAGAACCCAGAACAAACACAAAAAGACCGTCATGACTTCCTCCTCCTGAAGCTATAGGAGAATGCATTTCAGATGTGGATTCTTTGGTGGATGAGTGTAAAACTGGGCACCTATGAACTAACTGCAGGAAAAGGCAAACTTACTGAGTCCCATCCCTGAGGAAGGCAGGTGGGGTTGGGCTTGCCACTTACACTCTGGTCCCGATCGTCACTCTCCATGTGCTGGGCAATGAAGCTGACCCCCTCCAATGCTTCTCGCACGTCCTGCCCAAACTTCCCAGAGGCTCTCAGTCGGAAATCCCTGGTGATGCCCGAGGTGTGGGAGCCAGCCGGGGACTTGGGACCCGCCGGGCTACGGTTCACAAAGTACATGGAGTTGCTGTAGAGGTTGGCCGAAGCAGCAGCGGCCTCAGTCTTAGTTGGGTGTGGCTGGCCTGGCTGGGGAGCCTCAGCCAGGCTGCTGTCCAGGCCCAGGCGCCTCATGAAGAGGAAGGTGGGTAGCTTGTACAGGAAGCAGCGCTTGACCCAGGGCGCCATGGTGTGTGTGCTGGGCGAGCGGTGGTGCACGTTGAGCACGCACACAGTGGTGACGATGGAGAAAGTAACCAGCACCATGGTGAACATGAGGTACTTGCCGATGAGGGGCACGTCGAGTGATGTGGGCGGCACGATCTTGGAAATGAGCAGCAGGAAGAAGGTGAGTGCCAGCAGCACGGAGATGCACAGGGTCATCTTCTCGCCGCAGTCGGACGGCAGGTAGAAGACAAGGATGGCCAGTGAGGTGATGAGCACGCAGGGCACAATGAGGTTGATGGTATAGAAGAGCGGCTTACGCCGGATGATGAAGTCATAGGTGATGTCCACGTAGGTGGGGTCCAGCGGGTCCACCACCCTCCGTCCCGGCAGGGCCATGATGTCCCACTCTCCACTGGGTGTGAAGTCGTCCATCCTGGCTGTGGGTGCCATGAGGACCATGTCGATCTCCGTGTGGTCGTAGGTCCAGGAGCGGAACTTGAGCGTGCAGTTCTGCTGGTCAAAGGGGAAGTGCCGCACCTCAATCTTGCAGGCACTCTTGTAGATGGTGGGCGGCAGCCACTCAATGCTGCCATTGGAGTAGAGCACCACGTTGGTGTAGAGGGATGCCACGTAGGTGCCATCGGCGCTGGGCGGGGACAGGGTGTGGGGAGAGCACTGTGAAACCCAGTGAGGCAGCTCCCCACGGAACACCCTGGGGATTATTCCCACCAAACATCCATGGACACCCATCCATCCCCAGGAAATGGGCCCGCTTGGCTTGATGTCTGGTGGTGAGATGACCTGAGATAACCTGAGTCCACACACATATCCCCATTTTACAAATGGAAAAATGAAGCTCAGAGAAGTTACATTATTATTATTATTATTATTATTATTACTATTATTATTTTTGTTTTACATTATTTCTTTTAAGATCAGAAAACTAGTAAGTAACGCAGTTGAGTTTTGAATTCAGGGGTATTGAATTCAGGTCTGTCTGTCCCTTAGTTACATACTTATGTTTGAGGCACAGTCTTTCTGAGTTTCCCAGGCTGAACCTCTGGATTCAAGCAACCCTTCTGCCTCAGCCTCGTGAGTAGCTGGAACCACAGGCACGCATGCCACTGTGTCCAGCTTCATTTAAATACCTTTACTCATTTCATGCTGTTGCTGGTATAATTATAACCCAGGGAGAGTCTTTCTAACTCCTTCCACCTACCTAAGTATTTTTTGAGATGAAACCTGGCTGTGTTGCCCATGCTGGTCTCAAGCAATTCTCTTGCTTCAGCCTCCTGAGTAGCTGGAACTGCAAGTGCATGCCACAGCACCCAGACTACCTCTTTGCATGAAATAAGGCAGTGCTACTCAATATGGACTCAGGCTCAGAAAGACAACAGAAGACAAGCAGAGCTGGATTAGCGTCAGAGTGGCCCTGGTTCCAGCTGGGCCTGTGTGTCAGACAAGGCTCCTCTCTGTGCTGGGCCTCCAACTTCTAGTCTCAGCTGAGCTCTGACTCTCAGCCCTGCTCTTCTTCTAGTCTGATGGGCAGAAGCCAGAGACGCCAAACAGGTACAGGGGTGGAAGGGACCTCAGTGTCCCCTAAAGGCAGGGCCTGCAGCCATGGCCACCACCCAGGCCCTTGCTCCCCTGAAGTAACTCACTTATTGTAGAGTACGATGTCTGGCAACCAGACGCGCTTGGCTGGGATCCTCAGGATGTTCACGCCCTCATAGTGGGAGCTGTTCCAGGCCAGGCGGTAGTCTTTCCAGGCCTGAGCACACAGCAAGGCTTTTGTCACTCACAGGTCTGTCTGTACCCCAGAGTAGCCCTCAGGAGACATGCCTGGGCCAGGGACACTGCAGGGCACTTACCTGCTTCAACCAGACGTTGGTGGTCATGATCTGTTCTCGCTCATTCTGGGGAAGGAAAAGGGGCGATGAGGAGCATCATAAATGGCATTATCCTGCACAAGGCTCCTGGATTGTGGGTGACTGGCTGCCACTCCAAGATCTCTTAGGTGGCTCAAAGGCATTTCACACTCAGGATGTACAGGAGAAGTTCTTGGTCTTCCCCAAGCCTGGCGCTGCTGGCATCACCCATGGCACTGTCCTGTGCAGCTAGCTAAAAGCCAGGGAGTGGCTCTGATCCACCAGCACGGGCTACAGACTGATTTCCACCTGCACCTCAAATCTGTTGGCTTCTTTTCATCTTCCTTCCACCAACGTCTGTCACCTGGACCACTGCAGCCACATCCTAACTAGTCCTGGGTCTGCCCTGGTCTGACCAGTCATTTCTCTACACAGTCACTGGGATGGTTCCTGTAAAATCTGTATGGACCATGAGGCTCAGGAGGTCAATACCTCCTGCATCCCCAGCATATCCAGTGCGAAGTCCCGCTCCGGGTCTACTAGGCTCATTTGCTCCCCTCAGTTCCATGATCTGCATGAGCTTGCACCTCAACATGCTCCCATGTGCTCTCCCGCAGTGGCTACGCTGGCCTCTGCTCCACTCCTAAAACTCACACACACACAACTCTCCCTGTCTTCAGGTTCAGAATCATTCCCTTATTAGAGAAATCTCCGCAACTCCCTACATGAAACAGCCCCCTCCTCCCACTTATTCTGCCTTATTTGTCTTCATAGAGATTGCTGCCACTAGGCAACATCTACCTTTTTGTGTATTAACACTACCTCCCATGAGAATCTAGCCTTCCATGAGACTCCAAAGACCACAAGCAAGGATGACATCATGAAGAGCACCTGGAATGGGTCAGATACCTCATGATCATGTTCAGGAAGAACACAGGAGCCTGAGGCTCGGGACCTGGGCCATTTGCATCTGTCTCTCACCTGGACCACACCAGACCTCTGCACTGGCCTGTTTCTACTCTTCACACCCTCATCCCCCTACTACACACAGGCATACACAAGACACATGCGTACATATGCATGCATACTCATGCATGTACATTCACACATGGGAACACTACTACAGACATGCACATACACTACACACATGTATACAGGCACACATGTACACATGTGTGGACACACATCTCTCTCTTACTCTGCAGCCAGGATGTCCTTTCCTAACGCTCGGCCATTTCCTGTCTCCATCTCATCCTTTGCACTCAGGATCTCCGTGGAACTCCTCTACAGATCCAAGCCAACTGTAACATCCCATCTCCCTACTCCAGCCTCCCTTCCCATCCCCTCTGCTGCACCCCTGGCCTCTTGCTCTCTGCATGTGTCCTGCACCCCTTCTCTGGCCTTCTCTCATCAAGGTCACATGCAATGTCCCAACTTCAGTCAGGGGGACATTTCTTCCAGGATCCTGTTTTGAGCTCTCGAGTAGATAAGGGCCTCAGCAGGACAAATGCCAGATGCTAACAACAGAACAGAGCATCACAGACCTCAAGGAGAAGTCTGTATCCCTCTTGTGTAACATTTGGAACAGACAATGTGGTTCAACTGAGAAAATCCAGGTGTCTGAGTTCCTTCCAGGTTCTTCTCTCATACTTAGAGCAAGACCCTCATATAAGTGACTTGCAGGCAATACTGGGGCTCCAACCGCACCATCTACATCCCAGGCTACTGGAGCAGGGGCACCGAGTGTGTGTGTGTGTGTGTGTGTGTGTGTGTGTGCACATGCGCATAGGGCTGTGTGCCAGTGATCTCATTTTGATTATTTAGGCCATTTACATGTAATGCAGCTACTGACCTACTGGTGGTTCTTGATTTAGAATGGTTCAACTTGCGATTTTTCTCACTTAACAATGAATTTATCCAGATGGTAAATACATCCTTGACTTATAGCATTTCTGATACACAAGGAGCTTATGGGGACACAATCCCACCTCAGATCAAGAAGAATCTGTATTTGGGTTTAAACCTGCCATCTGTTTGTTTTCTGTGTACTGTCTTCTATTTTCTCCACTTGTGTTATTTGTTACTCCATTTCTATATCGACATGCCTCTTCCTTCAGTAGTTGCCCTCAACACTGGAATATACACTATTTGTACTATTGGACTATTTGGAACCCAATATTTCCAGAACAAGCAAGGACTGTAGAATGGTCCAACTCCAACTATGTTCCCTGATTTTTGGAACTATGATTGTCATGTGTTGAGTCCTACATGCAGTACAATTAAAACCTTGCAAGACATATTTTACTATTTTATAGTATTGATATCAGCTTAATCTACCTGTCCATTTACCTTCTTTGTAATATGGGATCATTTTCCTAATGACAACAGAATAGCCTTTAACATCAGATCTTCTGGGATTACCTTTTTTTTTCTTTGCCTGAAAATGTCTTTACTTCACCTTCATTTTTTCTTTTTTAAAAATGTATTTAGTGCAGGGTCTACAGGGTCTCACTGCACAGGCTTGGACTTGTAGTGATCCTCCTGTTTTCAGATTCCCAAGCGCTGGGATTACAGGCGTGCATCACCATGCCCAGTCTTAGTCACTGTTTCAGAGCTCCCTGGGGGCGGGGCCGGCACAGCAGGCAGGGGGATGGAACCCCAGTCGCTGTGTCTGCCTAAGCAGATGCTTTAGTCCACTGAGCTATCTAGCCGGCCCCTTCACCTTCATTTTTGAAAGAGACCTTCAAAATCCTGGTCCAATTCTAGATTTACAGTGTTTTTCCTGTACCTGTTCAAGAGTATCACTCAATTTTGTGACTTGAGCCTGGCAGATCTAGGGTGCACCCTTTGATGAGTTTAAAAAATGTGTTAGCATTGGAACTTGGCTCCTTTCAGGTATGGAGCCTTCAATCCCTGAAGACTGCCTGTGTCTAGACACTGCCTCTCACAGCCCTGCTCCTCTGACTGTGCCCAAGGGAACAATGCTCCCCACCCCAGGTCCACGTTGGAAGGCCCACGTGTCTCCCCCATTTCCAACTCCTTGTCTATTTCTAGAAACTTCCATCACTTGGGTGCATGCCTCTAACTCTCTCTGTCCAAAAACAAAACCTGGAAAAAGAAAAGAACTCCCCCACCCCATTCCCTGATGGACACTGGCTTTACACACACACTTTAGGGAATGTGACTGCTCTCAATCATATGCACTGGGGCAGGGCCAAGGCTATGTCTCCTCTCCTCTGGCAGCCTCTTCACCCAGGAGAACCCACAGAGCAGCCACCTGCCTGTTCTCTTTCCCTGGGGCAGGAGCTGGGCTGGAGCACCCAGAGCTGCCCATGCTGGGCAGCCACACTCAACATGATCTGGCATGGACTGGCCTGGAGCCCTGTGGCCCACAATCTGCACAAAGCAAGGAGAGGGTCAAAGAGCACAGGGCCATGAGGCCTGCCTTCCACATTCCTGGACTAGGCTCCCCTGGCCCCAGGAGGGAGCCAGCCCTCACTCTGGCCAGAGCACTGTAAGTTTGAAAGCCAAGTTTGTGCAGGGCCAGTGGTGCTGCAGAGAGGAGGGGATAAGGAAGGCAGTCACCTTTCCAGGGCATGCTGTGCCTACTCATGTGACCCCCATTGGAGCTGCTTCAGGGGCAGGAAGTGTGGCAGGCACATGTCAAGGCATCTAACTGGCCAGAGTCCCTTGAAAACCTCAACTCAGGACAGCAAAGGGAAAGGAACTTCCCTGCCAACCCAGCTTGCTAGAACCTGCGTCCCTGCCCACATCTGCACACTGAGACCAGGCATCCTCCCTGTGGGTGCTGTATCCTTGCCTCTTTTCCACACCTGGCTGGGTCGTCACCTCCCTGGCTGATTTTGCCCTACATGTGGGCCTCTGCACCCATCAGCCTCCCAGCCTGGTTTCCATCTCTCCAACAAGGAAGATGTATATGGGGCTCCCTGGAGAGCAGGCCATGGAACAGTCGGTTTGGCTGTGAGAACAAGGAGAAGCCACCATGTGTTGGAGAGCAAAGCCCCTGATAGGTTGGCTGATGGCCACCCAAGAGTCACCTACCCCCATTCTCCTTTGTTAATAAAGGGTGACTTCATTTGCCATCCGATTGCCATTGACCCAGTCTCCTCACCATGCACCAGCAAACTGAGGCCAACTATGAGAATTCTACTCCTCTCACCAGTAACTGGGTAGGCTTGGGTGTGGGCCAGAACCCTTACCTATAATGTGCATAAGGCCACCCAGGAGATCAGACTCTGAGAAATTTTTCTGGCTCAAAAAGGAACCCATAAAAGGTTTTGCATTTTCCTGCCATGGCCTTTGTTGTGTGAGGATTTTATGTTTGGAACAGCTGGCTGCCATCTTGGGACCATGAAGAGAAAATAAGAGACCTGCAGGGTCATGACATCACTGACATCTGCCTATGGTCCTGCCATCCTTAAAAGTGTGGCCTGCTTTCTTGTTATGAGGTAACAGATGTGTTCTGATTGTGTTAGCCACCCTTAGCTGGATGGTCTGATAACGTCGAAACATTTTTTATTTTTATTTTGTTGCCGAAGCATTTTAACTGACGCTGAGATCACAGATTCACATGAGGTAGTAAGCCATGGATCAAGACTGCACGAGAGGTTAGGTCATTCCCAGGCAAACGAAGACAACTGCACATGCGCAGATGCAGCCAGCATTTGTGGCTGAAAGACTCAGAACTCAGAGGCAGAGTCAGGGTCCTTAGGGTTGACACAAACCCCTTAACTTATGGATATGGAGAAAGACTAGGTCTCAAGCGAGCAGAGAATACAGCTTGGTGACCTAAGCCTGGGAAGGGAGTGGAGGGAGGGTGGGAAAGGGGTGCAGGACTGCAGCTGGAGAAAGAATAATGTCTTAGTGGCATAGGTGTGGTTGACAACAATTAACCGAATATTTAAAAACAACTGATAGAACTTTGAATGTTCCCAATACAGAGAAATGCCATCCTGTAGACTATAGATGTGCCACTACACTCCTATGGCATGTCACACTGTATCATGTACATATCATGATATTTTTTTAACAAAAGATGAACAAGCTGAGAAGTCTGTGCAGAGCCAGAAGCTCTGGTTGCCCAATCCCCGCCCTACATGCAGATGTGGGTAGCTGGGGGAGGGCACGGACCTCCTGGCCATCTCCAGAGCCCTGGTCTGGGCCCTCCACACCCTGAACACCTACCACGCTAATGAGCTGGGCCAGATACAGCTGCAAGTGGATGGTGATGATCTGAGAGGAGCTGGTGGCTGGGCGGATGAGCTTGTTGTAACGGGTTTTGTTCAGCAGGTCATCCATCAGCCTCTCCTCGGCGTTGGCCAGGCGGCTGTCTCCTGCAATTCACACAGGCAGACCCATAGGCCCCCATCACCTCCATTGGTGAAGGGGACATGCATGAGAATGGTGAGAATGGGTACCTTCTTGATGGCTGAGGCAATCGGGGTGCAGCAGGCCACCTCTCCTCAGGGAACCTCAGACTGGACACAGCCACAGCAGAGCTCAGCACCTTTCCTGCCGCCTCCTCCTCCTCCTGCCACTGCTCCCCCCACGTCCAGACATCCAGTACCAGACCTGGGCACCTGCTCCTCACTGTGTCACCCATTGCACCCCAGGTTCCTTAGTCTGTCTGCCCATCACCACTCCCACAGCCAGGCTCCAGCTCACCTCCCAGCTCCTCCTCAATGGCCTCCCCACCTCCCCACCTCCACTTGGCTATCCACACAACCCACGGTGCCAGGGTGATCTTCCTTCCACAAACTGGATCAATATTCTTTTTGATCTGGGACCTTTTGGGGCTGAAGACAGAATTAAAACCCAAATGTTTTAGTTTGTCATTCAAAGCCTTCTGCCCCTAGCGCTGGCTTCTCTTTATCAATCTGATTTCCTCTCCCCTCTCCACTTCGGCCCTGTCAGTACACTGTGACCACACTATGGCTTACCACCCCCCAGATGGCTTTTGGGTCCTTGGGCACACCATTTCCCCTGGTTGCACTGCCCAGTCTACCCAAGTCAGCTATCTGAGCATCTTTGTGCAGGCACCATGCTATGTGCCAGGAATTGTTCCTTCTCTCAGAGAGCATACAAGGTCCCTTTGAGGCCACATATGGAGCCGTCCCCTGGCTGCTGATCTGGAGCTTACAAATCCGGACGCAGAGTCAAGACTTGCAAGGAGCCTGAGCCCCAGCCCCCGCCCTGCCCCTCCCCCAACACCTCCCATCTGCTCATGTCTCGCTTTCTCAGGGGTCTGGGGTAAAGGTGACATTCAAGGCCTTGAGCTTCTGTGCACTGTGTCAATGTAGAGTAGACTGGAGCTTGGGAAGAGGGACCTTGGAGGTCAAGGATGCATAAGCAGGACAGGAAAAGATGGGAGTGGACACAAGACAGTTGTCCACAAACGTTTTAATATGTATTATATTTAAATCAATCATTCTAATCAAGCATATTACATACACATATGTACATAAGCATTACATTTTTTAATAAAAATGTACAGGTGGAAAAAAAAAGATGGGAGTGGACAGAGAACACGGCTCAGGGGCAGGAAAGCAGATGGGAGAAGACTGAAGGGGGTGGGACACTGGCCAGGGGCTGCCTAGATCACTAGCCCCAGTGTTGGGTGCCATCTTCCCCCAGAGCTATTTGCTTGTTTTACTAACCCCTCCCCTCTGGGGAGAGGGGAAACTCAGGGCCCAGGGCACCCCAGGGAGCAGGTCTGTGATGGCTCCTGGTTTGCTGCTGGGCTGGGCCACAAGACATGGGAGTAGCCTGCACTTTCCAACTCACTGCCCATCTGGAGCAGATGCATTATTTAGAGCCTGGTGAAGATGCTCCCCACGCACCTGCTGCCAAGTGTCCTCCCCCACCTGCCCGGGGCTCTCCATGGGGTTTCTGCAGCTGCCTGACCCAGATTCTGAGCACTACTTTGAAAACTCACCTGGGGGCCAGCCCACAGCCAGGCTGCACCTGTTTGCCTTGCATAGGTATTCCTGTTTGGACTGATCCCTGGTCCCCTAAACAAGGCTGTGACCTGCCCACACGCACCTGGCTTGTCCAGGGTAGCTCTTGAGTCAGGGGGAGGCCAAATCCCAGGGTCAAACTGGGCTCACTGGGTTCCCCACAATCCAGGGTGCTTTGAAGGCTGTGGGAGTTCATGAATAGCTCCAGCCCCCCTGATATGTTCCTTTTGTTCCTCTTTGTCCACCTCTTCTTAGACATCCAGTTTTCCCAAGGGGTCCTTCTCATCTTAAGGACCAGTTATGGCCTCCAGAGTTTGAAATAATTTCCTCAACCTTTTATATCTTAACTGAGAAAACAGACTTAAAGGAAGAGCTTTTCTAGGATACCAGTAAATCAGCTGGCCAGGTCCAGGAGCCACTCTCATATAGAGGCCCTCTCTGTCCCTGTGACTTGTCCTAAGGGAGCAGTGTCACAGCAGGCACCTGTGTTTGTACTTGTGAATGGTGGGTGGGTGCCCAGAGGTAGGAATGTCCAGCTCCGCTGCTGCTAGGCCTCTTGTCCCCAAAAGTGGAGGAAGGGCCCAGAAAGGCAATGTTCCACCTTCCCAATTGGCAGCCTAACACCTGTGAGGCTTGTCAGGCTCAAAAGGCCAAGGACAGGTCTTTTACACTCCTGGTGAGATTACAGGATGGCCCCAAATGGTAGAAACTACTGAGTTTCATCTCCCCAGGAGCTCTGAGTTCAGGCTCTATGGTTAGGCAGAGAAGCTGCCACCAGGGGTCAGCCATGACCCAGTGATTCAGGTGAGGAGAGGGGCCCAGACTGGCCTTGGGGCTTGGAAAGGCCTCTATAGGGAAAGGATTAACAATCTGACATGCAGCCACACAGGAATCCTAAACCATGCGCTCCTGATCTGAAAAAGCATATCGGACCCAAACATGTGATGACACACCTATGATTTTGGAGCAGGTCTACAGAAAGTAATCATCAGCAGAATCCCACCAGCCAGTGGACACCTGGAAGGCAGGGTTGTCGATGGGTGCTGTGTGTGAGGGCACAGGGAATTTGTGTTTATGGGAAAGCAGCTGTGGGTTTTTAAAAAGTTGAGACCTTATATTTTACAAGGAGCTCCCTGTGTCTCATCAGCACTTCTCCATCCTAAGGATAAACTATCTGGAGGTGTGAAAGCAGGCATTAGAATCCATTTCCAAAGACTTAGATCCCTGGAGCCTATAGTAGGGCCCATGACCCTGCATGGGTGATGTGGGATACAGCTCCACCAGCCAGTTAACACACTGCCACTGGCCCCCACAAGGGTCGCACATTAGCAGGCAGATCCTACGTTTCCACAGATCAAAGGGGAAATCGAGGCTCAGGGAGGGGAGAAGAAAGACACAGGGCCAACCAACAAGTGTGGCAGAGCCACACCTACTCACCCTCCTCTGGCAGTCTTTGATAACAGGGTCACTTCCCTATAGGAAATGTCCCCTGACCTCCAGCACCACCTGTGGCTTCTGCCAGGGACAGAGGCAGCTGGGTTCCTGAGTGAATGGGCCCATGCAACAAGCTTGGGCCAGGGAACACCCCAACTCCAGCAGGAGTCCCCACCAGTGTGAAGGCTGACTGCCCAAGGAGGACTTGCAGAACCTCTTTCTTGGTGCCACTCTCCACCGTGCTGCCCATGATTGGGGAACAGAGGTGACGGTGCCATAACAACCTTTTTTTGGGGGGGGAGGATTCAGCACCAAAATGTAGGAGCCTCCAAGCGCTGGAGGAATGAAGCAGCCCTTTTCTCTGCTGAGTCTCCCCAGGGTGCTGGTGGGGCCCTGACATGGAGCAGCTCTGTCCAGGACAGGGACAGGCTGGGTGTGCTCACTCTCACGGGTCCCAAAGACGCCCCGAGGATGACCCCCAACCTCGTAGCCCTCCACGGCGCGTCCCCCAAATTTCACAGATGCCGGGGTCCATCCTCCAAACCTATCAGACACCTGGGCTAGTCCCTCTAACCTGCAAATCCCTAGCCTGTCGTTCAAACCTTGCAGTCCCCCGCCCCGTTCCCTAAACATCGCAGACCCCGGACCGTCCCCCCAAGCCTCGACTGCACTCGGCCAGTCTGCTGGGACACGCTGTCCACTGCCTCCCCACCCCCAGTTCCCGCTTCGGCAATGCTCCGCTGCCCCGAACCCCCTCCCCGGAAGGACTCACCTCGTCCGCACAGGGCGAGCAAGGAGAGGAGGACCAGCGGGGGCGCGCGCCGCATGGCGGGCGGGGTCGCTGGCGCGGGGCAGCCGAGGGCAAGCGAAAAGCGGGAGTCCTCAAAGAAGTCGGACGATTTCGGTGGGCGGGCTCTAGGACCACGCGGAGAGTCCCACACACCCGCCCGCCGGGCGACAGGAGCGAGCCCCGCCCACTCGGGGCAGGGGGCGGCCCTGGAGGCGGGGCTCAGGGAAGGGCGTGGCCTGATGAGGGGCGTGGCCTGGAGGATTGGGTTTGGCGATCCCGGAGGCTGGGGCTGCCCGGCTGGCGTGGACTAGGAGGGACAGGGGTAGGGTACCCCGAGGCATCTGGTGATGCCAGGACACCCACTCAAGGGTACTGCCCAGTAAAATCCTGGCTACTTAGTGATGCTTAAGTGCCTAGCAAAGGTCAGGAGGGTAACATCCCTCAGGGTCACCTAGCCCACTAGCAACTACCGAAGGTGCAGAGACATCCGCAGGCATCCTTCCTTCCCTCTGGAGGGAAGAGGATGGAGGGCCAACTTTCTGGGTGGCTCTGGATGAGCGCTGGAACTACTTGCTTTCTGTGCGTGGGCTTGGGGACAGCACAGAGAAAGTGTGCGTGACCCCCCCCCCCCCCCGCAAGTCTGGATGCCAAGCATCTCTGGGGGCTGCCTAGAGCCTCAGGGCTTTCCACTCTCCACCCACCTCCTCCTCTGCCTGGCCCTCAGAGGCCATACTGACAACCCAGGAATAGGTGGGAAGGGCAGGATCCAGGGAGCGTCGCCTCTTCCCAGGCCAGGAAGTCTTGCTTTCATATTGTTTCCCCCAGTGTCTGCATGCTATACCCTGACATGTTGGTCTATGATCTTAAAAATAAATAAAATAGGGGCCGGGAAGATGGCTCAGTGGAATAAGCAATTCCCTGGCAAGCGCAAGGGCCTGAGTTTAATCCCTGGTTCCGCCTACATAAATAAAATAAAACAAAAATCCCAGCTGTTGAAATGATGCTGACTTTCCCTTGGGGATGGTTTGAAGATTTTAGGTTTGAGGCTTTGCTCTTCTCTAAACTTCAGCAATAGTAGGCAAGAGCTATAAAGTAAATTGAAAAAGACATAACCAGGCCCCAAATAAGATCACATCTCCATGAGTCAGAAACGAAAACTAGAGGGACTAGAGGACAAAGCTGGAAGCCAAAGGTGGTGGCTGATCCTATAGATGAGGGGGACTGAAAGACTTGGCTTCAGTGAACCCTAAAACCCTGAAACAGTGCTGGGTGCAGGGAGCCTGGCCCCAGTGGGTCTTCCCTGGTATACAGGAGCTTGAGGATGCTATTGAAGCTGGTGAGTGGAAGTGGAAGTCGTGAGGGAGGAAGAGAAAATGCAGTACCATCCACACAAGCCACACTGGAGCCAGGGGAGATGTTCCCTTAGATATTCTTGTAAGGGGCGTCCTCAGAGATGGGGGGACAAGTCAAGGATGCAGATGCTGCCTTCAAGGTCCTTCCCTAACTAACCTGGGATAGCTTGAGCATTAAAATAAACAGGGGTGACTGGTGAGATAGCTCAGCCGACTAAAGTGCCTACTTAGGCAACAAGCTTAGGCAAGGGCAACGACCAAGGTTCGATCCCCCACTCCATGCACCATGCACCACATGCCACACCAGCCCACCCCCAAGACCTGGGGAGGCTGAAAGCAGGAGGATCAATACAAGTCTGAGATGTGTAGTGAGGCCCTGCAACAACAAAATACATTAAAAATAAATAAGATAAAAGAAAAGAAACAGGGGAATAGTGATGAATTACAATTCAATAAATAAAATAAGAATCTATTCTGGAGTTGGAAGTTTGATGAGAAGTGGGATGTTTATAGAATTTCTAAGTACCTCCACACATAATGCTTATTCACTATAAGAGGAGAAGAATTAATCCTACAGAGACCCTGGCAGACACCATTGTGTAGATGGGATAAAAGCACCAAAGTTGTTTACATACTAATCCCAACATCTGTGAATTCTTCTTCAGCAGAAGGAATTGTGCAGATGTGATTGGTTGGCTGGGAAGATGTCCTGGATTATAGGGTGGCTTAGTTAGAGGACTCTGTAAGACGCATGCATGGGTGTCAAAATGGGACAGTGAAACATGAAGAGGGAAGGAGGCTCCTAGTGGCCATGAGCGAGGATACCAAGGCCGCCTTTGGGACTGCTGTGGCTTATACACGGATGTCCCTCAGAGCCTTTCGCACCTCTAGGTTGGGCTTTTGGAAGGTGATGACAGCCGACCTCCTATTAGAGCTGGGGCCTGGGGAAGGCTGGGCATAGTGGTGCAGGCCTGGAATCCCAGCACTCGGCAGGCTGAGGCAGGAGGATCAATGCCACTACAAGGCCAACCTGGACTACAAATTTGTTCAAGGCCGGACTGAAATGCATAGTCAAACCCGGTCTCAAAAAGAAAAAGAAAAAAGCATGTTATGTCTAAGACGTTTGATATTCAGACAGATAGTGAAGTTAAGCTCAACTGCCTCTGTTATAGGGTAATAATATCATTAAGCTTCTCTTCTGGAGGGTTAACAACTTAAGTTTGCAGACCAAAAATTAGAGAAAAAGAAGGGCTGCAAGGACAGCCAACATTTTGGCACTAGCCTTTCAAGGTCAGTGAGGACTCAGGACGTAAGAGAACCTGTACTGTAACATCCTGTAACTCAGTGATGTCCCAAATTTTCTGATCAAGGAGATTATGGGGCCACAGAGGAAAGTGATTGACCATGTAGAGTGTGCCTAAGGAGAGTCACATGGAGAGAAAACATTCTCTCAGGTTTTCACAGAGAGCAAATTGTTCAAGCAATGGCGGTGACTCATCCACATGACTGACACTGACAAAGGATCTACAAACTGTGGTACAGGGCTTCAGGGTAAATCCTGAGGGGATTTGACTGACCTTGTCAGATACAAAAGTTACATTTCTTGTTATATAGGTCTTGCTTTATCTTGGTTTTAACCATCTAGCACAAAAGTATAAAAACGAGGTACAAAAAGTAAAGCCATATTAATATGCTGAGCTGTAAGAGGCTCAAAGCATCAACTTCTGACATTGCCAGTCCTACAGATAACCCACTACTATTATGGACTACTGGATTATATTGAATTATTTTGCTGAATTCACGCACCTACAATATTTAAATGGCAGTGGAATACCCATCTCTGGCAAAACTAAACAAAAAAAGGGGATACAAATGAAGGACCATTTTGTATCTGTATATACAAAATAGGATTGATATACAGCTACTTTCTCTTAATTCAATGAGAAGCAAGATTTGTACTAACAGTGTTTGGACAGGATATCATGTCTGCATCTTGCACTATGAATAACCACTATGAAGACAACAATATGTAATGGATTAATTATTGAAACTGTCCTACTAATTGATTTTGAAACTGTCTCATTGTTATTTGCTTCTCAATACAATTAATAACAAAAAAAGAAAAGAAAAGAAAGAAAGGCAAATAAAAAAAGAAACAAAATAAATCTACAAATTGAGATTTGAAAGCATATGAAACAATTGATGTCTAAGGAACATAGCCAATAAAATAATCAGAGAATTTATTGCAGATGAAGTGTTTCATAGAAGGCTGATAATTTTTTTTAATAAAAGAAAAAAGAGGTACTGGTTACAGATTGAGGACAGTATCTTCTTGTTGTTCGGCTGGAACACAGATGTGTGAGAAAAGTGCAGCATAGCCCTACCTTTTTCTGGGTCCTTAACATTAAGAGGCGGTGGGAAAGCGGTGGTAACTACGTGGCTTTCGGAGCCAGGAATCTGGGCTGGATGCTTGTGTCCATATCTAACTTTTCTATAGCCTTGAGGGAGTGACTTGACTTTTCTGTGCCTTAATTTCTTCATTTTTAAAAGGTGAAAATAACTCCACAAGAAGTCTCTAGGGAGGAAGTGAAATACTTAATGGAAAGCAATTTCATAGAGTCTTGGTCATATAAAACCTAAGAAATATTAGCTATTATTATAAACATAAATTCTAAAATTCTTTTTTTTTAATGTATTTAGAACAGGGTCTACAGGGTCTACAGGGTCTCACTATGTAGAGTTCCGGGAATTGAACGCTGCTTAGGCAGGTCAGGGACCAGGATTCCATCCTTGGCATGCCGTGCTGGCCCTGCCCCTGGGGTGTGCTGAGATGGTGACTGAGATTGGGCGTGGTGATGCACACCTGTAATCCCAGAGCTGGGGAGGCTGAAAACAGGAAAATCACTATGAGTCTGATCTGTGTGGTGAGAACTTGTAGACCCTGTACTAAATACATTAAAAAAAGAGAAATGTATATCACTCAGCCTATACTAGAAATAAATATGAAAATTAAGAATTGCAAAGGAAGGGCTGGAGAGATGGCTCAGTGGTCTAAAGCACCTACTTGGAACAAGCTTGGCAAAGCACAGGGACCGCGGTTCAATTCCCCAGCACCACATGCCAGCCAGCCGCGCCCCCTGGTGGGCTGAGCTGGCCACACACACACACACACACACAACACACACACACACACACACATACAATAAATGTTAAAATAAAAAAAAATTTACAAAAGAATTGCAAAGGAAAAGTGCCCATATTTGCAACATGACTGTAGAAAATCTGAGAAATAAATAATCCAGCAAAGTATTGACTGGTAAGAGAGGAAGCAAGATTAATGAATTCAAGATCAACTTTTAAAACAAGAATAGAAAGCCTTCCTAGTCATCAGTAACAGGAAGTTAGAAAATTCAATGGACAAAAAAAAGATTCTGTTTATAAGCGTAAAGATCTGAGAATATATTTAGCAAAAGGTACACCAGGACTTTGCAGAATGACATTGCTATGGTGTGACTGTGTCCCCCAGTTTCATGCACTGGAAGTTGGAGGCCAGTGTGATAGTACTAAGGAGCAAGGCCACTGACGTTGGCACCCTGCACACGTGCAGGGTGGGGATGAGTCTGTTCCTTCCATCCTTTCCACCGCATATTCACTCATTGTCCCCTCCAGCAAAACAGTACGGAGATGCC